GTGTGGAGGGGAATCAGTCAGCGAGCCCCAGCCACAAGGCACCACATCCATTCAACCAGTCGCCTCCCTCCTCATGCCGGTTCCCGCTCTTTCGCAGCAGTCCGCCGCCTGGGACGCCAACCTGTTTGTGGAGGTCACTCTGGGGCCGCTTGCAGCCTGTGGCTTCTTCCCTTCCTCGCTGCCGTGCAGCGCCTGATGGGCTTGCCACTGAGAAGACGGCTCGGAGCTGGACACTAACCGAGAAACATCCCACGTTGCCGCGACCTCGCACACCCACAGCGGAGGGATTTACTTTGTCTGGAAGAGCCCGCGGGCTCGTCACACGCTGAGAAGAAAATGTTCCTCGACCCAGACGCAGCCAAAGGTAATAAGCGCCGCACCTGGCCCCGCGTGATTAGCTAGCTGCATGGCGATCGGGGCAGGGACCGGCCCCCTGTGCAGCGCCGAGCACTTTCCGCGGACGGCATGGGCAGGGGGAACTGCCGCCTTTGTATGTAGGGACGTGAAAGAGAGAAAAGGAGAGGGAGGCGGCGGTCGTGGCGCCACTCCACGCACCTGAAGGAGGAGGAAGAGGATGAATCCCCGCGGCTGATTGGGCGTGGAGCCTGGGTAGGGGAGGGCTCGGCTCGGCACTTCGCAAGGAGGCGGCGAGAAGGGGTCGGCTCGGCAGCGTCTCGTAGCTGCGGCTGCAAGGCAGGGAGGGTGGTGGCGGGAAGCAAATCCCGCGGCGATCTGCTGAGGAAGGTTGCGAGAGGTGTGTTGGGCGCAGGATTTCGGTGGGCTGCCTTGGTGGGAACTTATGGGGAGAAGAGCAGGGCCGCCTGTGGAGGCGGAGCCCTGCCTGCTCCATAGCTGCCTTGCCTTCCGGAGACTGGCCGCGTCCAAGTGGGGCTGTCACCGCCGGAGTTTGGAACCGAGGAGGGAAAAGGAAAAAGAGGCCACCAAGCCGCGTGTAATTTTCCAACCTCCCTCTCCCTAGTTATGCTCCCTGTGGTCTCCCCGCCCACCCGGTCATTCCCGCCCCCTTCCCTTCGCTTGCCTAGACTTTATAGAGTTTCTCGTGGCCCATAGCTTGGGGGAGAAGCCTCTCTGGACCCCTCTCTTTCCTTCAGAATCCGCTGCCCTTCGGAGCCGCGGCGACGGCACCTGCTACAGTATTTCTGGGCGAAAGTAGCTGCGCTTGACCCAAATCGTGGCCGTCCGCTTCCCAGCGCGGGCACCCAGCCTTGCCGCGTCTCGCCTACTGGTCCGAGGCAGGCTTCTGGCTGGCCGCAGCTCCTTTCTTCCAGCGATACGTTTGCTGCCAATGAGGTCCCTGAATGCTTGCTTTTCCTGGAGAGTACGCGGCCACCGCTGCTCTGCTGCGAGCAGGCAGTTTAGGTGAGCTTAATTTGGTGGAATTGCAAACAATACTTATATTTAACCCCACCCCACACCCACCTGCTGTTTTAATTTGGGAGTAACAGCCAAATCAATATCTGCCTCTATATTCAAGGGAGACTGATTTAATCCCAAACGAAAGTGGCACCAAAACCGTGGAAAGTCATGGTTATGCTTCCTCTACTATCAGCGTGTGTGTAAAAGTCAGCAGCTAAAGGAGATTTTGCCAATTCATAGGGCCATGAGTGGTTTCTTTAACTATGCGGCCTTCAAAATCCTGCTGATGAAACAGAAATGACTTAGGAAGTGTCAGGCTCCCCTCCCCAGTGCTGAAACTTGGAATTTCTGACAACAGGACAGCCAGTGAAAAATCTAAAGGTACCTGCAAGTTTATGCTTCCTCTGGTTTCTCACAACAGCAGAATCTGCAGCTGCAGACTATATAGGATTTCACAGTGACTTATCGAACTGTCAAAAAGTTTCTTTCTTTCATGATGTTGGTGCTGAGGTGTTCCCTCTGAGTGGATGGACACGCCAGAGTGGTGTGATCAGTGTCAAACTGGGGAGAGGAGACCTAGATCATGGGTCTTAATTATGAATTTCCTTGGGTTACCATGGGCCAGTCACTGTCTCAAAGGACATTCCTCATTAGTGGCTAGTAGCCATCATTGAGAAGATACAAAGCCTGGTCTCATTGCTGTTACGTCGGCACAACAATCGCTGGATGATGCTATGAATCCCTGGTGATGAAATAACTGTGGCCTGGTTTACATCCATGGATTGTTGTGATGATAAAATTGGGTACAGGGAAAAGAACAATGTACACTTTTAGCGAGTTGGAATTACAAATGTATGGCTGTTTGCTAAATTAGATACTGTAGATGGAACCTCCATATACAGAGGCTGAATACCTTCAAAAAGCAACAACTTGGGTTAGATGGAATGGAGATTCTTGGCTTCCTGTCAGCTATATATTTGCCAGATGCATCAGATCTGGTCACTACTGGAAAACAATTGTGGTTTGATAGAACTTAGTTTGTTCCAACAAAGCTATTCCTGTGCTGTCATTGAAAAAAAACTGTGATCCATAATCATCCTTGGCAATACCCTATGGTAACCATTAATACAAAATAATTATACTCCGTATACTTCAATTTGAATTTACAGACTTGCTTTTACTTTTATTCAGGTGGAAGTAGAAAGAACACCCAGGAACCACCCTTAATAGTGTTCACCATTAATAGCTGGTTGTTATGTGTATAATTTTCTATTCAGAACAGCTGTTCTTTTCTTCCCAGTCTCAGCTCAGCTTTTGTAGGCCTCTAAATTCATTTTTTTCTGTTTGGCTAGAAAATAGAGAAGTCAAAACTCCATGTACTGGGCCAAGTCAGAAGGGAGTCTGCTGAAGAATAGAACATGGAATAGTATTTTTCACATTTTCCATGTTATTCACACTAGTTTATTTTTCACAGTTGCACCATACAATTCAGAAAAGTATATTAAGTTGGGCTGTGCTGTCTCAAGTTTTTTTTTTTCCTGGTGTACTCCCATTTCTACAGATTGTAGTGCTTCAGTTGCTAAGTTGGCAATTCATTATCAAACCACTTCTGCCATGAGAATCTCTTGTTCTGGAAACAGAGATGCAGGGAAAGTTTTAAGCTTAAAGATGTCATTTTAGTGCAGTCCTGCTCCTTTGACCCTGCTTCCTTTTTTCTTTTCTTTTTTTTTAAACCCTATTGAAGACCAGATTAAATTGAACTGGCTCTTAGCACTCTGTTCCTTATATATATAACCTGTATTGTATGTAATATGCTCATGTAATCCTTAACTTTTTCCTTCCTTTTATCAATGAGGAAGGTCAGAGTCTATTCTCTGAAGTCTGTATACATCTTTCTCAGTAAGGATATTCCAATATTGACTCTATTGCCAATTGTCAGCAAAGTGACTGTGGACAATAGCCAGCTGCATCCAAGGGAATTTCATAGCATAGCGATGCTTGTTCATCTTCCTTTATGCATTCAAACCTTGTTGAAAATTGAGGTTGTTTCCACAGCTTATCTACCTGCAGATTCTCCCCACACCTTAACTAACATCTTAACCAACCCATAAGCTTTTTTTAAAAAAGCTAATGTATATGTATGTGATCTCTCTCAGAATCCAAAGTGTCCTCACATGTACAGATTTTTTAAAAGTTCTGTAACACAAGGAAATCTGTTTTTCAAATTGTAGTATTCCACAGAGATCAATGCACTCTGTGGGAGCATGACTCTGTATCTTAATTAATGCCAACCATTTTTATTCTTAGTGTATTTTATTTCATTCTCTTACGCTATACAAGCATTCTTAGGTTGATCTTTTTTTTTTTTTTTTTAGAGCCTTATTCTGGTTAATTGCCAAGTTCCAGAGCTCATTTTATGTACAACAGTCCTAAGCTTTTCTGCTCATAAATCTCATTGATTTCAGTAAAACTTTCTTCTAGAAAGATATGCTTAAGGATAGAGTTTGTACTGCATTAGCACAGAAAGCATATGGGAGGGGGAAAGGGGACTGGTAGGGTAACAGAGAAATAAACTTCACCCCTCCCCCCCATTATTCACAATGTGGTACTCCAGATGTATCACATACATCTGTTTGAGAGCTTGGAAATCCAATAGGAATGGATAGGAATTAAGTTCAAACTGTCTTCATGGCATATACCATAGACGATCCAAAACAAAATAATGAATTTGAACATTTTAACACTATGATAGCTAAATTATATATTTGAATCCTGAAGAACCAGCATGGATAACCTTTCTAGCCCTGAAGACTGTATGAGCTGGTGGGTCAGGGGTGGAGGCTAAATGCATGTATGCATCCATTTGGATGTTCATGTACCTGCTCTTTCTCTCACACACAGGGATTGCTCCATTGTTACATAGACACTGCACACACTGTCATAAATGCATACAACAATCTTCTTCCCCCCTTTTATACAAACACACTCAGAGCATGGTTGCTGGAAAGAAAAACAACAGGGCTGCCCCCTCCCACCTGTGACCTGTTTGCTGATTATTGGCTTTATGCTGCAGGAATGATATGTTACTGCAGGGATAAGATATCAGAAACTTGACCTATTCAGAAATAAATTCAGCTGGCATGTGGGAAAATACAGTGTAACTGGCACCCATAGGAGAACAGGAGAAATATTTGCCTAGAATATGGGCTGTGTGATGTCATATACAACTGCATTCTAGATTAGTACACTAAAGACCGACCAGTCTCCCCCAGTCTGATCGCTCCAAATATGTCCGATTGCAATTCTTATCCCAAAAGAAGAGAGAATCAACTGATTAACAGAAAAGTATCATTTTTTTCACATTCTCCCTGTTATTCTGGATGGGGATGACTGACATTCTACTTCAACAATTGGAGAATAAAATGTCAGGGAAGGCCACTTCAGTCTAACTCAAGATTGTGAATTTCTGGGTCAAAAGAATTATTTCTCCAAATTCCACTTTCCCTCATTTGATCTGCCTTGGCACAGCAGATGGATGTCCTTCTCTTGTTTTGTGGTGTATGGTCTTTGCATGGTCACACATGAATGAAGACCTCTAAATTCACTGGGGATCAAAAGGTCCTGTCTGGCATACAGATTCTGTGGTCAAGGCTGAAATGAATATTACGTCTGCATTTCCCGGAAAATGTTACACACTGTTTTCAGGTCTTTGTCAATGCCAAGGCTTTGTATTATTAATTTTAGCTTCACTCCTATGCCAGTTAGAAATGTGGTTCAATTCACACTACTTCAGTATCTGCAGAAATGTGGTGGCACAGAGTTTATTTGAAGCACTAGCAACAAGTAAGGGATGAACTTGGGTGCAGGATATGTGCAAATGAATTATGGGGTATCAGAAGAATAGTTGTGGGAAATTTGGGGTTTAGGAGAGGAGGAGGAGGAGATTGAGTTAGTAGAATCTATTGAATAGATACATAAAGGGAGAGG